CCAAACCTGCAGATGGCGGTCATGCATCCCATCCCCCACCTCCTACACAGGTGGCCAGTGGGGCACGTGCCCCCCCAGCGCAGGAGGCCTGCGGGAGGCACGCAGCCCCCCCAGCACAGGTGGCCGTTGGGAGCGCGCCCCCCTTGTGCGGGCGGCTGGAGGGTGTAATTTGTTTTTCAGTGTTGCATAATATTCCATTGTGTGAATGTACCATAGTTTTTGCTATCCATTCATTTGTTGTTGGACATACATGTTTGTTTTTAGAACAGTTATAGCTTAATTTATTCTTAATATAAATTTTATTTGGCTGAGTTTATTTTACAAAAAAGCAATTTTTCTTAAATTGCATGCATCACCAATTTTGTTTCCTCAATTTTAACTGTGTCCTTTTTAAGTACTGTCTTGTTCTCTTCTTGACATTTTTCTTATCTGCTGGCATTGCATGCACTTTGAATTTGAGAGTTCTTGCTAAATTTGATCAAGAATAGTAGATGATAGGGGAGCTCTGGTGGCCTAGTGGCAAGAAACTGCACTGCAATCCCAGAGGAACATGGTTCGAATCCACCAGACGCTCTTCTGGAGAAGGAGGTGCAATATCCTCCTGTACCAGTCAGATCTGATTTGATGGTACACGCACACAAAATAATAAACAACAACAACAACAACAAAACCAAAAAAGAATAGTAGATGAGGCACTGTCTTTTGGGTGGATAGAGTTTATTAGAAAAAAAGGCTCTAGAGGGCAAATTGGAGCAGTCTCAGCACTTTGGCAGTACAACTTAACTGCTTCATTAAGGGATCTTACTAGCAAGATTTTGTTATTTTCTTAATGCTAATAAAGTTTATTAATAAAGCTTGTGAGCTCTGGTGGCCTAGTGGTAAAAAGCTGTGCTGTAGTCCCAAAGGCATGTGATTCAATGCTACTGGCTGCTCCCCAGGAGAAGGATGGACAGTCTCCTCCTATGCGATTAACTGCCTCTGAAAGCCCATCGGAGGGTCAGCTCCAACTCTACAGTACACAACAAAAATAACAATAAAGCTTTACATATTTATCACTTGTTGGGGAGAATGTGGTTTTCTGGCAAGTGACCTGTCTGGGTGATACTATGGAAATGAGATGTGTGCACATCAAGAAGGATCTGGGCCAGTGAGAACCACTTATTATGAGATAGTGTGTGTGGGTAGATTCTGCAGGTGTCACTTTGAATCCTATTGCAGTAGAAGATTCTCAGCTGCCTCTAGTGGAGTCAGACAGTGTTTGGAGGGTGGTGGATGGTGCATGCTTAAGGAATCCTTTTTAGCAGGTTTCTGCCTGGGAAGCAACTTAACAGGAACTAATTGCTTACTGCAGTAGAACGTGGGCACACTTTATTAGTGGAAAGCTTCTGCCTTGCAGTTTTCTGTCCTAATACCAGACACTTGAGATCTGGCTCTGGCTGCTTTGTCTCACTTGTACTGTGAACCACACTAATTTTTATTGAGCAATAATATTTTTTATTGACAACAGTAAATTACGTATGCTCACAGGTGGGCTTTTTAAAATTTCATTTGTACCTAACAGGTGATGGAAAGTGAAGAGTTCATGTTGCTTCCAGCCAATCAACTCATTGATATAATATCTAGTGATGAACTGAACGTTCGTAGTGAAGAACAGGTATTTAATGCAGTGATGGCTTGGGTCAAATACAGTATTCAAGAAAGACGTCCTCAGCTACCCCAGGTAATAATGGAAATGTTTCTCTGAGAAATGTCTTTGTTTAGATGAAATAATTTATATTTGACTTGCAGAAATTGTCAGATACTGCACTCCTTTATATTAATGAGGTAGCCCATATTTTAAAAAATAATAATAATAAGGACTTAAAAAATAATCTAGGACATACATATTTAGAAGGATTCTGACTACTTCCATTGTGAACTTTTTACTCCTTTACTATTTTTAGGTTTCATATGAACTCTAGATTTGTGCTATGTTGTTGTGGGTAGGTGCCATCAAGTTGACTGATTCATAGCAACCCTATGAACAGCAGACCTAAACCCTGTTTTATCCTCATTATCTTTGACTCGAGTGGTATAGGACAAGTGAAAGACTAAATATGATAAAAACTGTCTTGCCCTTTCTTATAGCTTGGTAATCTGGTTGCACTTTGAGAAGGAAAGGAAAGATGTGGGTTATAAGTGGTTGCTCAGTGAGGTACTTAAGACTCAGTGTTTTTACAGTTATAGTCTTTACCAGTTTAACAGTATATTTTGGGGGACTGTTACTTTTTAATCCAATTATATAAACTGATCATAGAAGAATATATACTGCTAAAATGGAGTAATTTTTAATTTCATGTGCTTCAATTATTCTATATAGGTTACTGAATTGGTGGTTAGAACTTATTGTAGTATTTATACTTCCATCCCTCTTCCTACATATTCAGTTATCTCTGAAAGGAATTTAAAGAAATTAGAAAAACAATAGGTAAGAGTAAGTCATTACTAAGATGAAAAATGAAATTAAATTTGTTCCAGGCTCATTTACTCAGTGAAATTTTCATAGATTTTAATGCCTTAAACAGTGATTAGGATAGAGAAGACAGGGTATAATTCCATCTCAGACCAATTTTCTACCCCACCCCCCCCACAAAAGGTCATCATTCCTGAGTGAGCTGAGAGGAAATCTCTTCTACACTTAATGTATTATAGGTGAAGAGACAAAGGGCCTTGGGTTTTCTATATACTTTGAACCACAAGTGAAGGGGAAGAAGAGGAAGATACCTCTTGAATACATGATGGTCTTGTGGTTATTGATGGTCTTGCTATTATTAAAAAAATTCTCTCCCCTTCTGGAATCTTAAGATTAACTATATAATTTTTTCACTAAGACACTAGGAGAGGAGATTCTGTCCTGTTGTCTTCAGAGTATAATCTTTAAGTTCAAATTTCAATGTAGGGTCATGCAGGCAGTTAGTTGAGGGGATGGATTGAAAATAACTTTTCTTGCCTTTGCTGTCACATAGTCTCTTAACTCATAAATGGGAACTCCTGCTTCAAAAAGTGTTTATTATCTGACAGGTGCTACAACATGTTCGTCTGCCTTTGCTTAGTCCCAAGTTCCTGGTGGGTACAGTAGGCTCAGACCCCCTCATCAAAAGTGATGAAGAATGCAGGTATGAAATGGAAAACTAATAACTCGACCTTCCTATTTTACTGTAATTTCCTTATTTAGATTGAATCCTAACGAGAGTCTTTTTTAAAGTTGAAACCTAGACACTTCAGTATTTAACAAGTGTTTTTCTGAGCTAGGGTCAAGAGACAGCGCAGGAGAGGAAGGCCCTCTATGAGGTGGATTGATTCAGTGACTGGGATAACTGGGATGGGAGTGTCACAGACAGTGCGATTGGCACAGGACAGAGCGGAGTTTAGGGCTGTTGTACATAGGGTCGCTATGAGTCGCAGGCGACTCGACGGCACATAACAACAACAACAACAACAGGGTCAAGAGGAGGAGGAATACCAGTAGTCTATACCATTCGTTTGGTTGAGTTTTGGTGGTTTGTTTTGGGGTTTTTTTTCTCTTACATTTGGTTCTTATTCATGTAGAAGGTGGCAATAAAGAGGTAGATTTCTAAGCTTTTAATGCAAGTTTGATAAGAAGTGGAAAGTATCTGCTAATATTTTTTCCCTTGAGATAAAGAATGCTGTTTACTTTGTCAGTGAGCACTTTTTCATGCTATCACATTTGCCTAGTTAGGAATAAGAACTTTTTGTTTTGTAAGATTCTAGATGGACTTAAAGATCTTTCACATTCATAGAGTAGCTATAAAAGAATTTCTACTAAAAAAAATGTGGAAATAGTTTCCACTTGGTTTTTGTTTGTTTACCAATTTTATTTTTGATACCTCAGTACAACCTATTAAGATAAATCTTAGTAAAACCTGAGAACTTCCACAAAAATGTAATTACTCTTTAGGTTGGTGTACACTATTTAAAAAAACAAACAAACCACAAACTTATGAGGAATTTTCCTTGGAATATACAGTAAAAGTTATAAATAACCTAGAAATAGTAATTGTGTCATAATGTCTGTAAACCTACATATGTTTTGATGAAAGAATAAAATTCTTTAAAAAACAAACTCAGACATTGTTTAATGTATTAATTTGGTTTTGTAATATTTTTAAAATGGAATAAAACAATTTTGTCATTAAATATACTTTTTTTGAGCTTTTATAGGCAATTTTATTTTATTTTTTTACATTGTGGCTTGTTGTTGTTGTTAAGTGCCATCGAGTCGTTTGCGACTCATCGCGACCCTATGTACAACAGCCCTAAACTCTGCTCTATCCTGTGCCAATCTCATTGCCTCTGACACACCCATCCCGATTACCCCAGTCACTGAATCAATCCACCTCATAGAGGGTCTTTCCCTCCTGCGCTGTCCCTCTACTCTACCCAGCATGATGTCCCTCTCTAAAGACCTGTCTCTCAGTAGGTGTCATTTTTTAAATAATTTTTTAATTAATTTTAATGAAAATTTAGAGACTTTGAATTTCTATTCATTCATTGTTTCACTTTTCTCCTAGTCCACCCCTCCACCCCCAGTACACTCTTCTCTTTGAAAAGTAAAAGAAAAATTCCCCCATAGTTTTAAAATCCCTCCCCCCCAAGGTCAATTATGCAGCCTTCGTTCTGGACTCCTGTCATAACAATAATATCTAATCACCTATCCCTTTTAAACAGTTTTCTCCCTCATCTGTTTCAATGCAGTATACATTA